CTCTGGTTTAAACAGTTCAGAATACAAGTTCATGACATACACACTTGTTACCAGTGGTTTTGAATGCTAGCAGGCTAACTGTGTAGCCTCAAGCTGTGCCCCAATGCCATGAAACATACCAACTGTATATCACATGTACTGTGTACCGTAAAACTTCAATTAATAGCCCAAAATGACTTCTATAAAAATCTGGCTTTTATTGGTTTCAATCACTGAACTCACCCTGTTTGTATCTGGGACGAGCCTTTAATTCCTTTCCCACAAAACACTCACTCCGCAAAGATGGGAATGAGGCTGTATCAAATTGTTTATTTCAACCACTATGAATATTGTGTAAAAATGTGCCTTTTTTTCGTCTCTGTTCTTTACCGTACCGGTAAATCCGAATTGTTTCGTTAAAATGAACTAAACGATTGAATTGTCTATCGATCTCACTGTATCGAGGTGCAGCATGTCCACCTTGACAAGTTTAAAGAGGTGTTATTCTGCTAATTTTCAGGTTCAACATCACTTATTTAGAGGTTGTACCACAACAGGTTTACATAATATTTTTGTCATACTGCACATTGCTGCAGCTCCTCTTTTCAGCCTGTGTTGAAGGCTTCGTTTTAGCTATGGAGTGATACATCTTGTCTCTAAATGATCTTTGTTGGGAGCTGCACATGCTCAGTTCCTAGTTAAGGACTACTAGCCAATCAGAAGCAGAGAAGGGCGGGTCGGCGAGAAGCCGGTAAACAGCTCGGGTTCAGCCGACCGGCTCGGCAACACGGACTGGAGCGAGAGTTTCAGAGCGGTGAGTTATTAATCTGTATCCATAAAGTTTTAACTGAGCTCTGTCTCTACATCACAGGAACAACTTTATGTCCACTGACTGCCTGGAGGGTAGCTAGTGTTTGGAAGGGAGAGGAGAGCTGTGTGCTGCAGCTCGCTGTTTCTGAGGGCGTGTCGGAGTAGCTGCTTGGCGAGCGTTATATGAGGCGCATTTAGCGTCTGGACTACAAACGAGCTGTTTTCAGTTCAGAGCAGAGTTTTCTGTGGGAGATGGGAACTCACTTTGGACTGGACTTTGGACTTTTTCACTTTGTAAACCTGTTACATGCACAAAAAAGGTTTATAACTCAATAAAGGAGAGGGGAAAAGCCAAAAAGCAGAATACCACCTCTTTAAACATTTATATTTGTATACACAATCTAAGCAGCTTAGAAGCAGAGGTTAAGAAATTCTACAAAAATCACACCAGGCTTCTAATTGAGACCTGCGTTTATTTATCCCGGCCAGTAAAAGGGACAGGCGTCAAATTGGGACTCAGCTTTTAATTGAAGTTTTACGGCACTAATCTTTGTAATAACATAGCAATCTAAACTAGTATAAGATACTTTATAGCTAATGAAATATCACTGCCAATGTTTGTTTTTAAAGATATTTCCATTTCCCTGCACTGTAGCGAATATACAACCCAGCGTATATCAAAAACATGTATTCTGACTTTTTTGAGTGCACTTAAAAGGTAACTTTTCCAGTAAAACCACGCTACGTTTCAAAATGTGTATTACATTCTTTCCATTTGTTTCGACTGCTTCTGCTTTAATGTAGAGAGCAGCTGACTGAAAATATTTCTGTATTTTAATATTTTGTTTGTTGTTGTTTGAGTATTGACATTACAGTAGTGATTTTAAGACTAAAACAGAACACGAGTTGAACTGTATTTTAACACAGAAGTCATATGTCAGTTCTTCCAAGACTAACCCCAAATAAATCAACATGATTTTATTAAGCCTCTCATTGAGAAGCAAAATGTCTTCAAGAATCCACAGCAAATCCACTCGCCTTTGACTGTTATTATTATTTTATTTTTTTGTAGCAGAAGTCTTTAATGGCCTCATGTAGACACATCTGTGTTTCCATCTTTATAGACTAGAGGGGGTGGGGGGGATTCATTCTGTTGGTTAATAACATATAAAAAGATTAAATCCAGGGGATCAGGAACACCACAGCCTTCACCTGTCTCGTGATGTCTTGGACATGCAGACACTTTTACACTGTAAATTATTTGTAAAGCATCCAGTGTTTACGATGGGATCATTACCTGGAGTGTTAACTTGGATGTATTTTAGAGCACTTTTTTTGTAAAAATGAGTGAATAACTGTAGTAGCAGAATAAATTGAGAATGAACTGGAATACGACTGGTGTTGTTCATCTTTCTGAGCCGTGCTGATGGACTTAAACTACACTACCGGTCAAAAAACATGTTTGTATGTAAATATAAGTAGTTTCTGATTACAAGTTACCCTATTTAAAATGTAATAGTAGTGTAACTATTTCAATTCCTTTTTTATTACTTTTCAAAATTTCTAATGGATATTTTTTGCAGTTAACGGCAAATGAAGACACTGTCCTAACTACCGTTATACATTCCTCTCTCACCTCTGGTATTGTTCCCTCAGCTGCAATAACTCCTATACTTAAGAAACCTGGTGCAGACACCAAGAATTTCAACTACTTCCGTCCTATTTCTAACCTGCCTTTTCTTTCTAAAATCCTTGAAAAAACAGTTGCATCTCAGGTCCATGCACACGTCTGACGATAACCTCTATGAAAAATTCTGGTTTCCGTTCCTGCCATAGTACAGAAACAGCGATGGTAAAAATCACCAATGATCTTCTCATGGCAGCTGATTCCAGACTACTAACTATTCTCATCCTCCTTGAGCCTTTGACACCATCTCTCATAACATCTTCCTTGACAGATTAGTCTCTATTGGTTTCACTGACACACCCTTGGACTGGTTTAAATCATGTATCCCTTGGCCATATCTTCTGTAAATTAAACATCCATATCCACTGCTATGCAGATGACACCCAGCTCTACCTGTCCACCAAACCTACCACATCCCACCCTCCCACCTTCCTCTCTGATTGCGGAAATCAAATCCTGGTTCTCTTGCAACAGTGACAAAACCGAGGTTCTCCTCATTGGCACCAAATCCACTTTGACTAAATCTGACAGTTTTTCTCTTACCCTTGACAACTCCACAGTTTCCCCCTCCCCTCAGGTCAAGAGTCTGGGTGTGATCCTCAACAGCACACTTTCATTTCAAGCTCACATTAATAAAATCACTCGGTCTGCTGATGATCGTTGATTATTGTAATTGTCTTCTCGTTGGTCTTCATCTCAAATCCATACTTAAACTTCAACTGGTTCAGAACTCTGCTGCCCAGATCATCACCAGAACTCCTTCTATTAATCATATTACTCCTGTCCTTCCGCAGCTTCATTGGCTTCCAGTTAAATACCGCATTGATTTCAAGAATCTGCTCCAGACCTTCAAGACCATTCATAACCTCGCTCCTCGGTACCTCACTGACGTCCTTCATATTAACACCCCCATCCGTACTCTTATGTCTTCTTCTTCTATTCGCCTCACTGTGCCTCCTGCTCGTCTGACCACCATGGGGTTCAGAGCCTTCAGCCGCTCGGCCCCTCGTCTCTGGAACTCTCTTCCACCAGACATCCGCAACACTGACTCGCTTTCCATTTTTAAATCCCGCCTGAAAACGCATCTTTTTAAACTGGCATATCCCACGTGATCACTCAATCTTTGTTTCCAGTTGGTTTGTACCCTGATTTTATGCACTGTAATTATTAATTTTATCGATTATTGCTGTACTGTTTTATTATGTTTTGTGAGGTGACCTTGAGTGTTCAGAAAGGCGCCTATAAAAAAATATTTATTATTATTATTATTATTACTGTGCACATGAAAAACATGCAAAGAAATGAAATGAAATAAATCCCTTCACTAAATTCTATTGGTGCAGAATAACTTCATAATAGAATAACATTCATTACTTGAGCCCTGAAAGTTGTATGTCTCTTAAATTTACATTATTTCTCAGTTTTGCTGACCTAAACTTTGTCTTCAGCTTCTTTGGTTATTCTGTAGCAGTGGAAGGAAATTAAGCCTTGAAACACATTTTTACAGTAAACACTTTGGAACAGCCTGAACACCCTCAGAAGCTTTATTTGTACAGTATTGCAACAAAAAAGGCAAATAGTGAAGGAAGACAGACCAGTTGGTTGTTGATAGATCCTACAGTGAAAAACTTAACAAAACTTCTTAACCCTTTCATGCCACTACAGTGGACAGATGTTTGGAAGCCATTTTGGGCATTTAAGTTATTTCCCAACCACCACGTGGCGGACCCCCAAAGCGTTGTTTACTATCCCATATGATTACTATCTGTTACATCTCTGTCATTTTGATATAGTGCATCTTAACTTCAAAATAACAGAAGGATGTGGCGATGCACCAAGTTTCTCAGCAATAACTGTAAAATCCTTTTATTCTCTGAAAACTAGACCAGTTAAAAAAAATATTTTCCAACTAAATAGGTTGTTAGAAATACTTTAATACAGATTTTAATTCTATATTTATTGTACATATTATGTGACACCTGCCCACTCCAATGGATGTTATGCGCCAAAGGGTTTGTTCTGCCTTTGTAGAATCTGCCTTAGTTTTATTTAAAATGATGATATAATTTGCACTTGAATAACTTTATGTATTACATCACTTGTTTTTAGTAAATGTTTTTAAAAAATTGTTTTTTGGACCTACATTGAGTGCCACTGAATCACTTTTGGTGCACATTTCAAAATTTAACGTGTTGTTGAAATAAGTTTATAGGCATAATTTTTATTTTACTTGTTTAAAGACAAACAAAAATGAGTACTTTGTAATTTAATAATTAATGCATGAAAGGGTTAATTTACTTGTTAATTTTAAATCTGAAAATGTTTTGGTGAAGTAAACGTTGTTTTTAAGTTCTCATTTAAGGTTTTTCACTGGACTTGAACTACTTAGATTTACACTTTTAAAGGTCTTGAAAAAGAAAAAAAAAGAAACTTTTGAGTTGTTCTGTTGTTCTAGATGAACTGGCTCTATGTGAGGTGCTGATCTACACTATCAGTGATCTACATGGTGACGTAGAAGTCTAAACAGGAAGTGCAGACAGCACGCGTTTCTGTCCCCACATGACCGCACGTTACAGCTACTGTCACCATAAATGCCGGTGAGTTTATTTAATTCAGAGTTAGACAGATTATAGATAAACGCGTGTGTCAACACAAGCGTGTCTACAATCTGAATGACTGTTTATTGTAGCTAACGGCACGTCGAAGCAGAGAGTGTAGAATGTTAGCATAGCATAGCCCTGATTGATGCGTTCAACCAAACTACATTCAGAAATGTCGCAGTTTAAAAGATGCGTACTTGTTGGTCAGAGAACGGACTTGCCAGAGTATGAATTTTATCTAATTAAAAAATCTTTATCGCTCTCTAGTTTCTTCGGTTTACGTTTGATTAGTTAATTTCAATTTCATGTCTGTAAACTCTTTATTTATTTCAACTCTTACCGGTGGAGAAAGCCAGATTCATTTGCTGACCTGTAGGAGTAGCTGGAGACAGAAGCGGTACAAAAAGTTAATGGTATTTGTTATATATGTGGCATGGTGATGTTATTGTTTGCCGCCTCGAAGAATAAAATACACAAATTCAGGTCTGAAGTTGAATGTGTTCAGTTGTCTTTTACTTGGGCCAGAACCGACACCACATTAAATCAGCTGATTTTTTTAACAGAGTTTCGCGTGTGGTGAAAACGAGGCTTCCCGCGGTAAACGAACCCAGAACTGTCGATAACTTAAATCCCAGTGTTTACAGGTGAGCGTCTGGATGACTGGTGCCCGTCTGCGTTGTTGACAGGACGACTGAGCCGCCAGGATGGCAGCAGGCAGGCTGAGCTTCAGAAACATCACCGCCCTGGCTCCGATGGTCCGGGTGGGGACTCTGCCCATGAGGCTGCTGGCTCTGGACTACGGGGCTGATGTGGTTTACTGTGAGGTGAGGATGGAGGCTTTGACAGAGGAAAATAAATCAGACATCAGTGTTTAAAAGTGTTGTTAACTGTTTGCTGTCTCTTGCAGGAGTTGATCGACATCAAAATGGCCCAGTGTCAGAGGGTGGTGAACGGTAAGAGTCTGTTCACACTCACACCGGAGGCTGAAGATCCAGACCGACACGGGACAAAGGCAACAACACACACCTCATGTTTGTTTTTTAATTGTGTCAGACGTGCTGGAGACGGTGGATTTTGTGGCTCCAGATGATCGAGTGATGTTCAGGACCTGTGACAGGGAGAAGGGCCGAGTCGTCTTCCAGATGGTGAGACGGGAAACAGTTTGGACCGGACAGCGTGAACGTTTTCCTCCCATGTTTTCATTCGCAGAGCCCTGAGTCTTCTCTTCTTTTTTTGTTGTTTTTCAGGGAACCGCTGACCCAGACAGAGCGCTGAGCGTGGCCCGGCTTGTGTGAGTCTCTGACCCTTTAATTCCCTGCTAATGACACAATATGAACGTAGTTTCAGAGTGAACACCATACGTACAAGATAAGTACGTAGCGTGACATTAAGACACAGGCTGAAAATCTGTTTTGGGATAAAGGATAATTTGGATATTTTTAAACCTGGACCCTATTTTCACGTATTTTGGTGAGGAAATGACTCGTTGGTACAAAAAGATTTCAGATCTGTACATTAGATGCTTCAGCCAGCAGCAACATATTCCTGCGGGGCAACTGCGCCCGTCAAAATGACGTCCACAAAAAGCGCTTCTTGTTGCCACAGGCTCAGACTGTTACCGCAGTGACATCATCGTGGAAAGGATCCCTATGGGGGACTACAGGGGCCCCCTCGTTGGTTTTAACAGGAAACTGAAGTCTCGCTCAGGGACAGTTATGGTGGCGATGGAGCAGTGGATAAGACGCTTGCCTCTGGTGTCCCTGAGTAAGACATTTAACCCGTAGCTGCGTGTGACCTCCAACATGTACAGCAATCGTAGGTCAATTTGGATAAAAGTGTCACTTTGTGTTGTGGTGGGACATAAAGGCGTGAAGATACAAGTGCGTCACGAGACCTGACGATGGTCAAAAACAACATGAGAAGATTTTGAACAATATTTCTAAGAAATATGAAATGCTGAGATATGAGTTGGGTTCTTCCCCAGAAGATTTAGAGTTTTAAACACTTAATTTCCTGCATTCTGGAGACATTTTCTGCTTCATTTCACCGTGGAAATGTCTTTACTTATATAAAGAGAGTTGGCAGGTGACAATTCATGAATATAAAATATAACAGATAAGCAGATTTGTTTCTCCTATATTTAATTCACGCTCTGAAAACTCGAGAGAGGCGAGTTGTTGCCGGACGACAAAACACGAGTCAGAGTTGGAGAGAGGAGTTTGTTGTGTTGGAGTACATCAAGTCTCACCTGCAGGTCCTTTACTTACAGAAATAGGGCTGAACGATGAATCCTTTTCAAATGGAAATCACGATTTGAAAGAACGCGATTAGCTAATCGTGAAGACGGCGATTAAAATGTAGGTTAATTATACATCTGACTCGTTTTAAACAGTCATGCAGTTACAAATTAAGTCCGTTGTCGTCCTTTGTGACCGACCTGGGCCTTGTTTCAGGAAGCAGGTTCAACAAACTCTGAGCTGTCAAACTCCAAGTTTTCGGTTTCAGAAAGGCCGATCGGAATAAGTCAATGGAGCTCCGATGCTACGATTCACCACGGCAGCGGCTAAATAAAGGCAGAGCCTTTTAATCGGGTGGAGCTAGAAATATGAACACTTGCCAACGCAGACCATGATAGGCTCTAAAACGCAGGATTGATACGTTAACAATATCAGGCTCCATTTTATACAGCGCTGCTCATTCATCATTTACCAGACTGGAGTTTCCTTAATGAATAATTCTCCTGCAGCCTGTTTTAAACAGCTACAGTCCTGTTTATTCAGCTGGAGCCTGACGGGACTAAACGCCGGTGGCAATAACTGAAGATGAAAATATTAATGGAACAGATTAGACACAGTTTAGGCTCCTCATGGACCTGTGATTGGAAAGCCACAGTCCGCCTCAGTAGGTCTATTAATGATTTCTTTGTAATGTAAAATGTGTCTAGCTTCAAACTGACTGTGAAGTTTTAGACGTCTATGTTACATTAATAAAATCTTGCTCATTTCGTATTTTATTAAATGCTGTCAAAACACATTCAGACGATCAGCAGAGAATGAAAAACTCACTTTTAAACTACATGTATTAGTTTCAGCTGCACCACAGTCATCCTCACTCAGAGATATTCACATCATATCCAGCTGATAACTACGACAGGAATGTTCAGTCAGTGCGACTACAAGATGAAAGGTCACTGTTCATTGATCAGTTTTATACAGATTAGTAATTTAAACAGTGAATACTGCAGCACTGTAGCACACAATAAGTGTTTTTGTGCCAACCTGACAGCTGCAGAAATGTCCACAGAGTCACTGAGTTATTAAGAAGGACAGTGTAGCTTATAGATTTTATTCTGTGCTGAGGATAAGTTTACAATGTCCAGAGATAACTCTCTGTCCAAACATCGATGACAGACTGATCATAAAAGCATCATGTTTGGGTAAAGAAAAAAACTAACAGCCTATTTAACCGTGATTTTGATGTTTCTAAAGACGTAATTGCGTTCATATATGTGCTATGATATCGACAGTCTGAATGAGGAAATGTCAGAAGGTCATTTCAGGATCTGCAGGAGGGGAGGAGTCAGAGAGAATCTCAGCGTTAGTTGACGTAAACCTCGTCCCGAGCAGGTCAGGTTCACGGCGTAAGTTGCCGGGGTTACAGACCTAGACTTTGATTTGTTCAGATTTTTGTGCTTCTACCAAGGTTAAGTAGCTACGGAGTTAAATTGTTTCTGTACGACCAGTTTGTCTCTGCCGTTCTGCGTCTGGTTCATCTTCTCTGTGCTGCTTGATGCGGCTTCCGTCATAAATAGACTGGCAGTGAATATCAACTTTAGCTAAACTAAAAAGTTTTAAAAAACACAAATCGAATCGTAACGGCAATATCTGGCAGAAAAATCGCAGTTAATTTTTTCCCTCAAATCGTTCAGACCTTCTTCGTGCATAACAAACTCCTTTATTGTCGTTCAGATTATACAACAGCAGAGTGAAATAGTGTTTCTCCAAGCTCTATGTGCAAATATAAACATTAAAAGGCAAATACACGTAGCACAACAACAAATAGACAACATAAAAAACATTATACAGTGTTGGATTATTGCACAGAGTAACAGTAAATAAAATTCTCACAAGATTTCAGAGTGAGAACTGTCCTAAAGCGAGACTTCAGTTTCCTGTTAAAACAAAGTCGGTCACCAGGAGTCCGTCGCGGCGACCCTTTGTGATGTCGACCTGCTGTAACAGTCTGAGGCAGAAAGCTGGTGCATTTTCCCTGAAGGAATATTTTGCAGCCGGTTCAGCTGCCGGCTGAAGCGTTTACTGCACGGATTCAAAACTTTGTACCTTCTAGTCATTTCAACACCAACAGATGTGAAGAATACAGAAATGATCCTTTAACATTTAAATATGAAAGAAGAATTATGCTCAAAGTACGAACTCACTCGCAGAGTCTAAAAGAATATGACTATAAAAATATAATAAAATGAATAATAATGAATAATCTGCAGCGGTGAACGGGCCATCTTGTATCCCATGATGCATTGCTGAATCTGGTTAATGTTGTTGTCGCTCAGGGAGAAGGATGTGGCTGCTATCGACGTGAATATGGGCTGCCCCAAAGAATACTCCACCAAGGTGAGTTTCCTGTCTGTGACCAACCTGCTGCTGCTCTGACCTTTGACCTCTGGCTGACCTCTGACCTCTTGCAGGGCGGGATGGGAGCAGCTCTTCTGTCGGATCCTGACAAGATCGAGGCGGTGAGTACTTCAACCGGACGACAAGTGTGTCAGCTGAGCGGCAGTAACCTGATAACCAACCACCTCTTTACATTTATATCAACAAAAAGACGACGGATTAACTGTGAAAATATCTGTAGATCCTCAAGAAGCTGGTCACAGGAGTTTCCATACCCGTCACCTGTAAAATCCGAATCCTGCCTTCGGTAAGATCGTTTGTTTTCTGTTTCTATCCTTGCTGCTTTAAATATCTCTTCCTCTTGATGTTATTCAGAATCCGCCTGTAGTCATGAAATGTGTCTCACTCTCCCCATCAGGGTTGTTGTGATTGTTGTTAGCAGATTTATCACGCGTCTCGCAGTAACATCTGCTGTACCTGGTGTCGTGTTCTTCACTGCTTTCAGGTGGAGGAGACGGTCAGTCTGGTCCAGAGGATTGAGAAGACCGGCGTCGCTGCTGTCGCTGTTCACGGCAGGTAAACCGCTTACAGTTTACGCAGCAGCACCGCTGGAGAATCACATGGAGTCACCGTTTGGCATTTCTGTTGTTCAGGTTGAAGGACGAGCGTCCCAGACACCCCGTCCACTGCGATTACATTCAGGCCGTCGCTCAGGCGGTTTCCATCCCCGTCATCGCCAAGTAAGCCTCAACACCTGCTCCTCCGTCTTTTTGCTCCAACAGGTGTCAGACTTGAAAAGTGTCTGTGACCACAGGTAAGACCTTTATTTTATTCTCAGATAAGGATTATCAAAACAAGTTCATCGGATTAAAACAGTCAGCGCGGGCATGCGGTTCTGCAATGACACTCGTTTTGTCTTGTTATAAACCCAGCACACCTAATCCTTTACAGCGGAGCCCCCCTCCCTCCCTGAAGGCCCAGACCCCAGTTAGCTTGAGCCAATATGTCGGGGTAATAAATGCTGCATCGTGTTAATAATCGTGAGTTTTGCCTAGTCGAGCCGCCCTATTCTCAAGGTTCTATGTCTTGACCTGGTTCTACAGTTTCAAGCAGGGACTGTTTAGAAAACCCGTGTATTCAGCACGCTGAGGAGTTTTGTTCCTTTAAAATTAAATCTAACAGATCTGTCTAGCCGTCCTGGAAGAGGGATCCCTCCTGGGTTCAACAACGGAGATGATGGTACAGATTGTAAAGCCCTCTGAGGCAAAGCTGTGATCTCGGGCTGTTTAAGTTGACCAGAGAAAAAGAAATGTAATTTGTGACAAAACCTGAATTTGCTCATCTGCTTTTTACTCCTCTTTATAACAAAGCTAAGTTATTTGTGGAGATTACTTAAACCTGCAGTGGAGACGTTGTCTCCCCCTTCTGGTAGTGAGAGTAACTACACAAACACTGTCGACGCCCGCTCATGACGTGCAAAAACAGAGACTTTTCCACATTTCTGGGCAATAAACAGCCACACAGACGACTCCAAAGAGCAGTAACGTGACTTCCTGTCTGCCCTCACAGCTACACCAGTAATTATCCACGTTTGTCCTCGCCGTCCTTCGCTGTCTGTCTGACTGTAATCCCTCCTCTGAACGCAGCTTTTCTCTTTATCTCGAGCGTCAGAAACATTTTCTTGGCTGCATACAACACAACGCTGCCGAAGCCTATTTACATCAAAATAAACTTAAACAACCAGACACATTTTCTCCAGTCGACCTATTTCTACTTTTTCCACAGCAGTGCCGGATCCTGCAGCTCTGGGTTGCTCCCCCTTCAGCTCTGGCGAACTAATCATCACTAGCTGGCGTAAAACTGCAGATTTAAAAACTTGTGTATACTGCGAGTACAGAGAGATTTATCTGGCGGTGAGAAGCCTAATCTGCGTTGTAATGGTCTCTCCTGCAGCGGAGGCTCTCTGGATCTGGTGAAGACAAACGCCGACGTCGAGGAGTTCAGGAAGGCGACGGGCGCCTCGTCGGTCATGTTGGCCCGCGCCGCCATGTGGAACGCATCAGTGTTCAGCAACCGGGGGCCGCTGCCTTTAGAGAAGGTCATGGAGGACTACCTCAAATATGTGAGTTTCTGTAGTTCTGCTTCTCAGCGGGGGAAACCTTGGCTGCCCGATGACTGACGCTGTTCCCGGTTGTGTTTTCTCAGGCGATCCGATACGACAACCACGTGTTCAACTCAAAGTACTGCCTGTGTCAGATGCTGAGAGACAAGGTGGAGTCTCCTCTGGGGAAGCAGGTGCAGGCGGCTCAGACCAACGCTGAGATCAGGTATTAAACCAGAGGGGACGCGGCCGACTGTGTGACGTCAGGCGTCGGCGATGCAATGTGACGTGGTGTGAATGTGTTGCAGCGAGGCGTACGGGCTGCGGGAGCTGTACCGGCAGACCCAGGAGCGGCTGCAGGCCAGGAGGGCCGCCCTGCAGAGCGGCTGCCAGCCGGACCCACTCGTAATGGACGGAGACGTCACCACCATGGCTGTCAAGTTTGAGCGGTCAGTAAACAAGCTCGGTCAAAATAATGAGTAAAATAAAAAGTGGGCCTCAGTCTCGCATCCCAGCGTTTGTGCCGCCGCACGACTTGATTTAAAAGGATGTTCTGAACGGTGATGTGTTCGCATTAGCATCTAACATCCAGGATCAGAAACAGCTTTACTGACTTTTTACACATTTGCCTCGGTGACGGGACGGTAGCGAGAGACCGATATGAATTAGAGCTGCAACCATTAATCGATTAGTTTTCAACTGTAAGTGAAAATTCTCTGATTCCAGCTTCTTAAATGTGAATATTTTTGGTTTCTTTCCTCCTTTATGACTGTGAACTGAATATATTTGGGTCGTGGACAAAACAAGACATTTGAGGTCATCTTGAGTTTTGGGAAACGCTGAACAACATTTTAAACTCTCTGACATTTTATAGACCAAACTACTAATCAGTTAATCGAGCAAATAATTGACGGGTTATCTAACAATGAAAAGAATAATTAGTTGCAGCCCTAATATAAAAATTAATGTGTCTAAATTGGTGATTTACTAAAACTTTATTTATCTGTCTAAAGTTCAGTACCATGCAGCAGCTTTTCCACCTGCACAAACGAAGATTTGTTAGCATGTAAATCTGTTCCCATCAGAGAGAGACACAGGAGTGGATTTCCACTCATAAAAATACTCCCATCAGAAAATAGCACCTTTTCCCCCGTCCCATCCCAGGATTCCCCGAATCATTTCAGCCTCTGGTGTTAATTTCTTTTTAAAAATAGAAATGTGTGCCTCACGGATGAATTTTGTTATTTAAAGAAATTTGCCTCCCAGTTCGCTCGGCAGGATGAATTTAGCGTGTGTGTCACAATCTGATGTCATCATGTTAGCGTTCATCTGAAAAGCTATCGTTGTAAATCTGCTAAATGTGTCACCCGATGAGTATTTGTTACTAAACAGACATTTTTCAGGAGAGGTTTGATGATCTCGACTTGTTTTTGTGGGTTTAGGAGAGAGTATCCAGCTCACATCACGCCAAAGATGTTCCTGCTGGAGTGGAGCCGCAAGGAGAAGCTGGAGCAGCCGCTTTACGAGACGGTAAGAAAGTTAATTAAACCTGCGCAGTGAACTTCTGCGGAGTCTGATGCCGGGGCTGATCCTCGGGCTGATGCCGGGGCTGATGCTTTGCGGCAGTCTGATTTATATTTACTTTGATTTGATAGATAACTGTACTGGCTGTCGAGCTTCACCTGAGCAGGAAATTAATTATTTCTAACAGAACTTGTGACCACAAAACAAACCCACAAATGCTCCAGAGAATCAGAGGGAACGTGTTTCCCAGGTTTTTATGCATTTATGTTTTGATGTTATAATTCCTACGGTGCAGCGTGGCTCCGTGTTTGAGCCTTGATTGATTTGTACAAATAGTGCATCAATGTGACAAAGATGTAAGAAACACATGACGCGCAGATTATTCTGCCAACAGAAAGCCGTCCAGCTTTTAACCTGACTGCACATTTCAGGATAAAGCCACATTTCAGATAGATGAATGATCCAATACTGATATCAGATACTGACTCAAATATCTGCCGTGGGTATCGGTGACAAGTTCTATGGAGGGTCAGTAAAGGTAGAGTTTCACTGGGCGAGCCGCCCAGACACGTTACAAGACATGGATGCGGTGGATATTTACAAGCGCTGACCAGGTAAAGTAACAGTGAACACACGAGTGCAGATCTCATTCAGTACCACGCTGGTTTTGATCTCTTTATACCCCACATCAGAGGTCACTAATTGATGGACCGCGGTCCGGATCCAGACCCAGCCTCTCCGGACCCCCGACCTACAGTCGATTTATTATGGAGAATTGCAACCTCGTGACGGAGCGTTTGTTTTATTTACTGTCCTGGTTTAGCGTCTCAGGAAACTCAGACCAACGCCATGTGTTCCAATCGTCTCATGTGATGCTGCTCAGCCAATCAAATCTGTGCGTTCCAAAAAGCATCGCGAGTGAGATCCACAGTAGGGCTGGACGGTTTGGACCAGAAAGTCCTATCCCGTACTGTTAGGCAGATAAAATACATATCGGTATTTAAAAACAGAACTGGACTTTTCCTCCTACGATTCCGTTCACAGCAGCAGCTGCGCTGAATGTTTGAGCCTTTCAAAACAAAACCAACATGTTGCATGTAAACGCTCCGTATTTGTATGGCGCCTTACTAGTATTTTCGACCTCTCAAAGCGCTTTGACACTACATCGCTTTCACCATTCACACACTGGTGGAACAGCCGCCAGGGGCAATTCAGGGTTCAGTATCTTGCCCAAGGACACTTCGACACGCCGCCTGGAGGAGCCGGAGATCGAACCGCCGACCTTCCGATTAACGCTTTTCCTCCTGAGCCACAGTCGCCCCTGCACGGTAGCGAACGAATAACATCTGACTGGTGTGTTCACTGTCGCTTCACCTGGTCCGTGCATCTAAAATATCCACTGTTTCACGACTTGTAACGTAAAGACTCTGTTTCTCTGAAAAATGCTACACTGTGTCGCAGAGGGAGGGGCGGGGCTGCGTGCAGAGGGAGGGGAGGGGCGGGGCTGCGTGCAGAGGGAGGGGCGGGGCGGGGCTGCGCGCAGAGGGAGGGGCTTTACAGAAACATATTAATTAACTCAACATCAAATTAAATCGGTATAAACAGTATTGTCTAATTTTATATCTCTTTTGAAATGATATGGATACTTTATACCGGCCAGCCCTAATACACAGAGGAAGAGAGGAGGCGAAAGAGAAAAGAGGCTTTTAATCAAGAACGTACAGATTCTTTCCTGAACATTCTTCCCACAGGCAGCTGAAACCCAGAATGTCTTATTTGATCTCAGACTGTCAGGATTATTAAAAGCGTCGCTACGAGATGAAGCACAAGTCTTTAGAGCAAACGTACCCACTCAGATCTGAAGCGAGGGAACAGAAAATCCAGTCCCAGCTGGCAGGACGAGCCACAGCTCCCGTTTCTCTCTGAGCAGGAGAAAGTAGGAAAGTGGGCATGAAGGAGGAATTAAAGGTGCTCATCTGTTAAGATGTGTTGAGCGTTTATTATAAAATTGGTTGGCACTACACTTCAGTCACTTCAAGCTGCACTTTATATTTCTGAAATGAAACGCTTTATTTTCAGATCCATTTAAAAACAAATCTCATGTATTTTTTCAAATGCAGCCTTTAATTTACTTAAATTTAGAATTTATTATTTACTTATTTATTCTCCCTCCAGTTTGATTTGAATTGTTGGAATATTATTTGGTTTGACAGTCAGTTGTTGACTAGAAACATGTTGATACAAACATACGTTAAGGTTCTGAATGATAACTCAAGTTATGAAGTTCCCGAGCTTTGCTTCGGGAAATATTCTCTAACTGGACCTCTTTGAATTGAAAACCCCTGCGCTGCGTCATTAACAAGCGCGCAGCTGCTGCCGATGCCTGTCAGACATTCAGGCTCTGTCGAGTCTCTCAAACTGCCACCGGAGCAGCTGTGAACAGCGTGTGTTGTGTTTTCAGGTGCAGCGCTCGCAGGATCGAGCCTTCCAGTCCGTGGTGACGGTAGCGGAGAAGAAATACAGATCTTCACTGTGGTCGGTACACCCAAACACGTTTCTTCCTCTCGCTGACGTAACGCATGCCCAGCCAAACCCTGACCTGAACCGTCACGACTGCATGCCTTCATTTATATTTTAATTCATTCAACCCTAAAAAGCGTCTCCGCCGCGGGGACCTCAGCTTCAATCATGTCAAGTCTTCTTGTCATTTTCAGGGAGAAGTCGAAGAAATTTGCAGAGCAAGCGGCCGCCGTCGTCTGTCTGCGAGTTCTGGGAATACCGGAGGGTCGTATCGGCGAGGAAGACTCCGGCCTCGTCTGCAAGAGGAAGAGGGAGGGGAAGATGAACGGCGCCACGGAGGAAGAGGGGAGCAACAAACGTCACGAAGCCGACATCCAACAGGAAACGGCCAGCGCAAAGACCGCCGCGGCGGGCAACGGTGACCATCGCAAACCGGACACGCCTCCGGAGCAGCAGGAGGGTTAACGAACAGTTAAAAAACTTCTCTTTTAGTTTAAGCAGGAGGAGAAGAAGCTTCTCCAGCGACTGACGGACGCTTGTAAGAACCAGACGTACAGATCTGAAGCAGCTTGTTTGCGCCAAACATCAGTTCATTTATTTTCTGTCCGTACCCTGATTATTTTCTGTCAAACACGAATCTGTTGTAAAGTTTTATTTCTTTCAATGGTTCAGAATCGTTTTTACACGTTCAAACTGGGATCTGCACGGTGCAAATACAGTCTTCCCCGCCGCCAGAGAGGAGAGCGTCTTTATTATTATTATTGGGATAAAGTCCACATTTTAAACCTGTTAACTGAAGAGGTTCAGATGTGTATTGCAGCCAGTAGGGGGCAGTGCTGAACCTTCATTAAGGTTTTATAGTTTTAAGATATTTCAGAGAAACACTATTAATTTTAACCTCGGTGCCTTTTACGGGATTTTCTTTTCAACATGATTTCGGGTGGGCCTTAAACGCATCATTTGTCCTTTACTCTCTGTCCAACATGTCCTGCAGTTGGATTAAACGAGTTAAACAGTATTTGTCTTCATCACCCTCCACTGAAGTACATATATGGTGCCGTATTTTTCTATCTCTGCTTGTATCCACCAAGTTTTAACCTGAAACATCCTCCAGAAACTATTAGTTTCATCTTCGTGTCAAAGGTTCGGACTGTTATTTAAAAAAGTCTTTTCTACAATGAAAAGACAAAAAAACTAGTAATGAACTTGGCCTACAAAGCAATAACAGACAGTGTAGCTGCAGCCTGATGCAGATAAAACACAAAGAGCCCAAGTGTTGCGTTTAGGTGACACATTTCATGATGAACAGGGTCAAAAAAATAACGCCGGCTCTCCCTTTAATTTAAAAGCAGCCTCTGGTCTTGTGATTAAAAAGTCTTTAAGTCCTGAATTGAACCTGAGAGGAGACACCCAGCTGCTGACGTCACCGCCGGGCTGGCTAATGGTGCCTTCAGGGGCCCTGGGAGACGTGACAATACAACCTAAATGAGCGTGCAGAGGAACCGACACCATACTTCAAATCTAAACCTCAGCATGATTGAGATAAACTAAAGTTATATTTCAGCACCCTGTAGTGGCTTTAGAAACTACAAACCAATTTTTAAGTTATTGAACTTTGTTTTTTGGATCTGTTAACACGTTTTTAATATGACTGCAACTAACGATTGTTTTCAGTGTTGATTATTTTCTCGATTAATTGATTCGTTGTTTGGTCTATAAAATGGTGATGACGTCCTCAGATGTCTTGTTTAATCCACAACAGAAAGATCCTCATTTTACTGTCACAGAGGAGCAAAGAAACCAGGAAATATTCACTTTTAGGAAGCTGGAATCAGAGAATTTAGACTTTTTTCCCCCCTTAAATAATGACTCAAACTGATTAATCGATGATCAAAATAGTTGCAGGTTAATTTAATAGTTAACAATGAATATATGAATTGCTGCAGCTCAAATCTTTAAAACATCAGTGCAAAACAAACACACCAAAACAAGCAGCTCTGTGGACTGAAAAATATATTAAATTGATTTAATCCCACACAGAACGGCTGCCATTCATTTTAATATATAAATTTAATTCAGTGTCTTACAGTGGTTTAATTGCAAAGTTAATGACAATTATCTTACTTTGTTTTATTCAAAGTATGTTATTGCATTTTTAAAATGTAAATATAAGTATTTTTTTAATCCAAAACTTCACAAATTGATTGTAATAAAATGCTGTCAAAGTGAATCATTATCGCAGCGGCAAACTCCAGGCTCTGAATATACATCAAAGATCCGCTTATTTTAAAAGGTACTATGTAGGCGTACTGTTTACACCACACACACAGGAATAACTTGCATAGTTAAAACAATCCCCCACTTCCACGTCTTTACAAAAGCTAACTTTCTTGATCAATAAAGATTTATGGAAAGAATTGAGGAAGTAAGATTATTGTAGAAAAGTTTGATCTTGACAGTTTAACATAACGCACAAATACACAAACTGCCACATCTGAACTCTTACGGCTGCCGTTTTAACATTTATTCCCTAAAACTAGTCGCTACATTTAAAAGTAAGTCTTCGTATCTAATAGTGACTAATGAAAAGGTGATATCTGAACTGTAAATGATTACATTTATATTATTACTATTATATTTATATAGAAATACAATAGTGACTTCTAAAATAGAAATGGTAACTAGAAAATCTATTCGGACAACTGCTGAATATGTGATATGTGAACTGCAGAGCTCCGTAGATTTCAATGGCAAAAATGTGCAATTAGTAACTAAAAAAACAAGTAATAGTAGCTTTTAAATAGCGACTAGTAAGTTTTCAGGAATAACTGTTGAAACAGCTTTAGCGTTAACAAACTACTGCAGTTATTTAAAACTGTATTCAGAGACGGTTTTAAGAAAAACGACCAACATCGCTTTAACAGCTCACGTGGAGTTTACGGGGAGCCCGTGAACGCAGCATGAGGATCAACCGCGGAGAGAGTAAAACTCGCAGCAACCGAAGAGAAACAGCGAACACAACAAGTTTAACACAATAATGCGGCTCTGACGCTTCTGCTGCGGAGCGCGGGGACATATTTATTGATCGAGTCTATGTCCGTTAACAACTTTTAATCGGGGGAATTTAGTCGACGTGTTTGTTGAGACGGAGTTCTGCTTTCAGTCGGATGGAAGTGAGCGAGACGGCTCAGTTTTAAAAGACAGACAGGTCGGTTTAACGGACATTTCCTGCGTCGCCGGCTCGATGTCCACATTAAACTTCGCAGAGGAGCTGGACTTCAGGCTGATCTTCGAGGACGACGGCAGACAGACTGCAGGTACGTGTCATTTTGGCGACGTTAGTTAGCAATTTGTCAGCAGAGTTAAGCGAATGACAACTAACGGGAGGGACGCCGGAAGCCAGGCATTGTGGTTTTCAAAATAAAACGCTTGACGCCTGTGAAGTGAAAACACGCTTTCATAAAGTCTGCTGTTTAATCCATTATTAAAAACAAAAAGACGAAGTTAATAAATACGAGAGAAATATTTTGTAGGTGAAATTTAATTTTAATACATCGATTTGTATGTTTCAAGCGTTTGGACTAGTAAGTTACCTTTTTATTAGTTAGTTGTATTTAAAAAAAATAAGTTCTGGTATCTAAATAATAGTGTCTAGTAAAACAGGAATAGTTACTAGTAACAAATGAAAAGATTATATATAAACGGCAAAAACTTAGTTACTGGTACCAAAAAAGGAAGTACTAGTATCTAATCAGCTGTTGCTAGTAAAACGGGAATAATTACTGGTCACTATTTCCATTTAATAGTGTCTATTATTTAGATACTACTTATTCATTAGTTACTAGTTACTCTTCCAAAAGATACTAGTAACGTTTTCATTCTTACTAGTAAGAATGGAATAATAACTTATACTAATAATAAGCACTGCTACATAAACAAAGAAAATATGCTTTTAATGCTGCTTTTTTAATGTCTGGGGTTTAATCCCTTATAAAGTAAAAAAGGTTAATAAATGCAAGAGAAATATTTTGTAGTTTAAATTGAATTTTAATACATTGATTTGTATATTTCAAGCCTTTGGATTATTGTTTGTTGATTTAATTAAAAGGGACAGTGCACATGAATCAACATGACGACTGCAGTCTGATATGTACATGTACCAGATTTAATCATAGACTCATTTTCATCTGCAGTCCCTGGCAGGTTGATGAAATAACAGAACATATTAAAACATAAACGTGGCTCCTCAGAAGCCAACAGAGAGCGCAGATATGATGACACATAGAAGACATCAGCAAAACAACAACACAACACGTTTCATCGGTTGTGATTAAGAAACTTGAACTCAAATGAAAATCCACACCCACTGGGGGGGGGGGGGTTATGATGTGAAGTAATAGCTTTGGAAAACTCAGTTTGAAATTGTACAGTGCGAGGTATTACTAGCAGTACTCATGTACGTAAGTTGGACTTTAAATTTAAATGTAGTCTGAGGGTTTTTTGCTATTTTGAGAAATCATTAAACGTTATCTTTGTGTAATTTAGAGGTAATTATGATAGGATACAATAAAATAAGTGTCAGAATAGAAAAATAGGCAGGAACACAGAGCAAAGATCAGAGCAGACAGTCGTGGTTTACATTTCAGTGGTCAAATCTTTTGAGTGATATTTTATTACTAAATAATTCACCTCCTTCAAAGGTTAAATACTATTAAAATCCTAATAAATGGCATCAATCTGATGTAGCTTGTATAAACCGTGATTATTTTGTCTGAATATCAGGTTTATCTATTCAGTCTTGTGGGTCTAATAATAACTACATCCAAACAATAATGGTCAGTTATCAATTTTCTCTCAATCCACAATTCAATGAATCAACTAAAAGTTCTGTTAAAGAGGTCTTTTTGTTTTCATTGGTTCCTCTAGGGTTGCATTGTTAGGCATACGGGATTTTACTTTGAAAAGTGTAACCGGAAGCTCTGCTGTCTTATTATAGAGGATGTGACACTTTCAGTTGTCTGCTGTTAAATTTAGTTGAATTTTTAAATGTGGATCAGGAGGCGAAGAAGTGATAAAATCACTGGATTGATTAGTATTATTGGCCACTCTGCTGTAGTTTTAATGTATTGATCAGCTGGCAGTTGGACAAGTTGCTGTAATTATTTGGGATCAGCTCATGTTGGTTATATTTTATGTTAACAGAACTCACAAAGTGGTTAACAGATATTATAACAGGATACAACTCAACCAAACTTCCCGAAGCAGCCCTTGTTGACTAAAAAATGTATATTATAGTGATACAATGATGTGAAGTATCATGAAGAATTGGAAGAGGGCTGCAGCTAATTATTTTCAGTCCGAACCCCACAGATATTTAGTTTACTATCACAGAAGACTAAAAATGTTTTTAGCCAAACATAGTGTTAGGAGACAGACATACTCAGTGCGTCGTGTGCCCTCTCTGCTCTGCTGGTCTTGGTTGTTTTTTCTAGTTTATATTCGGGATCCTGAAGAAGGTCTTCAGCACACCACTTTCATGCAGAGTTACGCACACTCATTTTCACTGCAGCAGAATGATCTGCCGGGCAATTTGAGCAAAGGCGCCGGCAGTCGCTGTTTGCTTTCGCGCACATAAAAAGGTACGCCATACCCAACGATGTACCCTACGACACACCGTATCCTATGCCGAACCTTACGCTGTACCCTATGCTGTACCCTACACCATACTATACACTGTACCCTATGCTGTACCCTACACCATACTATACACTGTACCCTATGCTGTACCCTACACCATACTATACACCGTACCCTATGCTGTACCCTACACCATACTATACACCGTACCCTATGCTGTACCCTACACCATACTATACACCGTACCCTATGCTGTACCCTACACCATACTATACACCGTACCCTACACCATACTATACACTGTACCCTATGCTGTACCCTACACCATACTATACACCGTACCCTATGCTGTACCCTACACCATACTATACACCGTACCCT